GCGGCGGGCAGGATCCGGCCCTGAGCGCGGGGTCAGATTTGCATGGAGGGGCCGTGCTCCGGGCGGGGGGGGGCTTAAAAGGGAGTTGGGGTCCGCGACACAGCCCCATCGGCGTGGGGACGCAGAGCTGGTGGGATCGCGCCATGGCCTGGGCCCCTCTCCTCCTCGCGGTGCTCGCCCATGGCTCAGGTACCCTGTCCAGACTCGCTGCGCCCGGCCGGGGCCTTTGGGCACACGGGTCCCTCCCCGTCCGGCGTGGGGACGCAGAGCTGGTGGGATCGCGCCATGGCCTGGGCCCCTCTCCTCCTCGCGGTGCTCGCCCATGGCTCAGGTACCCTGTCCAGACTCGCTGCGCCCGGCCGGGGCCTTTGGGCACACGGGTCCCTCCCCGTCCCGCTGCCCGGGGAGGGCTGTGCTCATGGGGCATTGGCTGACCCCCGTCTTCTCTCCTCTCTCCCCTCCCTTCCAGGTTCCCTGATCCAGGCAGCAGTGGTGCATGCTGCAAAGCTGCTGAGCACATCCTGCCCTTTCCCTTCTCATTCGCTTCCAGGCATGACTGGGTGATCGACATGGCAGCAGCAGAGAGTGCCTGGCGTGGCCTCCGCTGCTCAGCCCCAGCAGCTGGGACACAGCAGTTGTACGTAGCCTCCCCAGTGCCCCCCTGGGACCAGCACCCCCTTACCTGCTCCCGCTCCTGCCACGGACATGTGCCAGGCAGGTGTTGAAGGGCCAACATCCCGGTACGTCTAGCACAGCATCTGTCCTCCTCCATGCCTTCCTCCAAGGAAAAGAGATGGATGACTGTCAAACTGAATGTTCTTCCTCTTTATTGTCCTCCCCTAAAATGGACCCAAAACCCCATCGAAGTCTGAGAAATGCTCAGAAACTGGTTGTCCGCATTCAGCTAAATGCTTTACATAGACAATTTCAGTGATTTTTTTTTTTTTTTGTAGTTTCAGCCTTTGCACCAATGCATAAGCCTCCCCAGAGGCAAACCAAACCTCTGAAAGAGAAAAGTGCCTCAAACCACAAAATCTTCGAAGCATAATTCATTTTCTAGTGACTCAGGAGGTTCACTGACTCTGCCCCTTTCTATAACCACTTGCACAAACCACAGCATTTGAATATTTTCAAGTTCAATTTAAGTTGGTGCTATTGAAATTCAGGGCTCCAAGAGCTTGTTTGCTCTGAGCCGAGCACCCTGTGCCCTGTGAGTTTGGCACCATGCTGGGAAAACACTTTACAAAGCAGCAGCCAAGCCTTCCCTGGGGAATTTGAAGTTAATCGATCTTAGCTGAAACCCATCCTGGCTCACCCCTGCCTTGGCTATTGCAGCTGTATGTAGGTATCCACATCCCTTGCATGCTTTTCTCTGCTAGTCCCAGCTCTTCCTCTTTACCAACAGCCTCTGATGCCTCCTCTCCAACCCGCTTTGTGTGCCCTGGCCCTTGGCAGATGCTGCCAGGAGCCCTCACCCGAGGGCTGCTGCTCCAAGGGGCTGTGAAGGCAGGGGCTAATAGGGCACTACCAGGACCAGCAGCCTGGGGGATGCAGAATGGGCAGGGGCAGCTCTGTGGGAAGCCGAGTTCCTGGGTGGGTAGGGGATACTGCTGGCAGGGTGCTTGGAGCAAACCTGCAGGTCTCTGCGGTCTCCCTGGCTCCTGTGCAAGGAAAATACGTCTGCCATGCCCTTCTGTTCCTGCTGCTCCTCCCTGCTGCTCCGGAGCTGGCTTAGCTGGTGGAGCAGCACCATCCTCTGGCCCTGGTGCCTTGGGAAGCAGCCACCACCTTGGCAGAATGGGGTGAGATGGGTTTAAGTGCTCTGCTTGGTGCTGAAGGCTGCTCCGGCACTGTCCAGCTCAGCTCCCAAAGGCAGGAGGGTGCCCAGGGCAGGATCGGCAGCACACAGGCTGCCTGCCCTCCACTGCGCTCACCCTGGCAGTAATGCATGTTCCCCCTCAGCACACGCATGCACTGGGACCCGCTGCTCTCACTCGCCCTTTACTTCGTGGTCCTAGGCCATGCCGCCCACTCAGGGCTGCCTGTGCTCAGTGCATCTCTGACTTCTCCACGTGACGTGATTTCAGCCAAGACCTCGGCCAACAGTGGCACAGCTGCTGGATATCCCCTGGGAGAGGTGGGTAGGGGGGAGCACGCACAAATACCATCCCTACTCCATCATCCCCAGCAAGCAGCACTGCACAAGCTGCATCAGCGGCTGGGAGCCTGGCTGCCCCCCCGCCACGCTCACGGCGCGCAGGGGCTGCCCGCTGTGCATAAGCAGCTGCTTAGGCTCCTTCTACACAGCAATGTGTCGCTGTGTTTAGTTCTTTGGTGGCAGGACCCAGCTGACCGTCCTCAGTAAGTTGCTCTGATGCTCACACAGGGTCTTCCCCATGCCAGGGGCTGTATGGGCTCTTCCTGGGGTTTGAGGTGGGGTTTTTTTTCTTTCTTCAACTTCTCCATTTGGCTATAGTAGCATGTCCTCTGTCTGTTTAACCGCACTGAAACGTATTCATGTGCCTTTCCTTGACAGGAGGAAACAAGGTTTTACAGGCTAATTGGGCTTTGCTGCTTGCAAAACATTTTTGGTCCTTTCAAATCTGCAGACCCTCTACTGATCCCATGGGTCTTGTTCAACTTGTCTGAGTGCAGAAGTTACTGGGTAAAAATATATCTATATTTGCCAGACAGCCAGATTATATTGGAGTTTATGAAACAGAAATTCCTTAACATTTCCCTTTCTCCTAAGGAGAAGCTCCCAGGTGTGCTCTATGGTATGATGAGGAAATATATAGGGGGGCTGAAATGGAAGTGCTTCAAGTCTGAGCAAACGGGTTGGGCTTGCTGGCTGAGGACAAGGTTGCCTCTTCATGTCTCAATGGCACTCAGGAGGATGGCTGCCTCTTCAGCCTCCAAAAAGCAGTGTAGCTGAGCCTTGGCTACAGCTGCACGCACGCATGGCACAGGGCCAAGTCATGGGACGCTGGTGACGGGGAATACTGCAGACACGCCGACTGGGTGTCCTCTGGAGACCTGGGGCCTCTTACTTCCAGGGCAGCCTTTTTAGATTGCTAGGCTGAATATTAAAAAATAAGCTGACTGCAGAGACCTTGAGCTGTTAGCTCCTTTGCTGGTGGTGGGAGCTGCACTGAAAGATTCCAGCCAGGACCAAAACCCCGTGGGTACAGGCATGTCCACACTTTAAAGACCTTCCTCCTTCCACATCCACCTCCCTGCACCACTCTCTTCCCTCGCAGGGCAGCCCAAGGTCTCCCCCACTGTCCACCTCGTCCCGCCATCTGCCGAGGAGCTCTCAGGGCAGAGCAAAGCCACCCTGGTGTGTCTGCTGGGACACTTCTACCCCAGCACCATGCAGGTGGCCTGGACAGCTGATGGCCATGCCCTCACCAGTGGCATCAAGACCAACCAGACCCAGTGGCAGACCAACAACCAGTACATGGCCAGCAGCTACCTGACGCTGAGTGCTGCTGACTGGAAGAGCCATGAGACCTACACCTGCACGGTCAGGCATGAGAGTGGCACCATCGAGAAGGTCCTGAATAGATCTGTGCGCTCCTAAGCCTACTGGGGAGCAGACAACCCTGGTCCTGGAACATCACATCCCCTGGCACAGTGCTTCACCACCTGTCCCATCCCTGTCCCCTCCCTCTGTGCAAGTCACTGCTGTCTCTGTGGGCTCTTTCTTTTCCTCGTGCCTGAATCCCTCCCATCTCCCCTGCCCTGTCCCCTCGTCCTGGGCATCATCCAAATAAACCCTGAGCCAGTGCTGGCCCTGCATCCACATTTCCCAGTCCTTCCCCCTTGGTCAAATAAGATCATGACCCTGCAACAAAACATGGCCCTGATCGGCTGAGAGCTTAACTGCTCGCTCCCACGTCTTGAGCTCGCTGCATTGGTGCATTTTCCCCCCGCGATGGTCTGCGGCTGATCCTTGGGTGTCCCCAGCTGACTGCTGTCTTCCCTCCCCAGGCTCCTGTCCCAAATTCTGTTGCAGCTGGGGAGTGGAGCAGGAGCCATCTCAGGTGCTGCGGCTGCACCAGCCCTGAGTTTGGTCCGGGGGCACTGGCTTGATCTCCTGCAGCAAAGGCAGGAGCTAAATTAAGTTGGAGAAAGCAGCCAGCCAGGGGTCCTCCACTGCAGCGCCCAGTGCTGGCCGATGCCCCTAGCCCTCCCCTCCGCCTGCAGACTGGGCCCCCTGACCCAGGCAGGGCATTAAGTGCTGAAACCTGTGCTGAGCTCTGTTAGGGCAGAAATAAAACCTTGAATTCAGCCTTTGGTCATCACCCACTGATGCAGCAATAGGTGCCTTCAGCAAGCAACCCGGGGTGTGATCTTCCGTCATGGCTGGCAGGCTTTGTTGTCTCGGGGGGGCTCTGAATGCACCGGAGCCAACCCTGCACCAGTGCCTTTGCCGGCACCAAGATGCTGGGTGTGACGGAGGGAAGTGCTTATTTATCCTCGATGGGATGGTCCAGCGCCCTGAGCGCCAGGCTGAGCTCTAGCACAGCGGCGGGTGCAGCGCGACGGCAGCCAGGGCTGCACTGCTCTCCTGCCACCAGCTGCCCCAGCACAGGGCATCCTGACACCGCTGCCACAAGGAGGCTCACCCACCCACCAGGCACCGAAAATCCTGCCCAGGTGAGGATGTGAGCTGTGCCAGGCTCCGGTTTTGCCCCGGAGAGCAGAGTCAGGCTGCAGGGTGGCACAGGCACCAGGAAGTGGGGTGCCATATGAAACCACAGCACTGGTGTTTCTGGGCAGTGGGAAGGACAGATGGATGGTTTATTCATGAAGTTTACCCGCGCACATACTGTCCGATGGCCGGTGGTCCCTGTTCGTCCCGGCTGCAGACACTGTGAGGCCTGAGGGGATTGCAGGATGGTGGCCAGTGCTCCCCGGGGCAGCCCACAGCCACCTGCATGGCAGCAGAGCAGGTCGAGGCAAGGAGCTGCCTGTTGCGCCTTAGGGGCACCCAAAGCCTCCACCAGCCCTTCCTCACCTAGGATTAACGTCCCTGCACCACAGGCAGGGACATGGGCTTGTAACAAGCTCAAGGTGCATGGTCCTGGGTAGCAGTGGGTCTCTGGAGCAGCCAGTGACACAGCCATGGCTCTGGAGAGCTGGGCAAAGTGGTCCATGTGGGATGGAGGGGCCAAGGCCACCTGTTTTCCCATGGCCCCTCCAGCAAGGACACACAGTTTTCCCCATACGGCTGTCCTGCTGCTCCTGCCGTGCCACATCCACTGGGGCACGTCCAACACCACGCATCCAGCCTGCTGTGTCTAATCGGGACACCTCCATCCCATCACCTCCATCCTGCTGCATCCATTGAGGCATCTCCATCTCATCACCTCCATCCTGCTGTGTCCGTCGGGGCATCTCCATCCCATCACCTCCATCCTGCTGCATCCATTGAGGCATCTCCATCCTATCACCTCCATCCTGCTGCATCCATTGGGGCATCTCCATCCCATCACCTCCATCCTGCCACATCCATGGGGTCCAGGACTGCTCCTGCCATGGGGCAGGAGGTTTTTGCATGGCCCTGTATCACTGTGTGGTGCATTCGGGGCTGGGACCATGTTGACCGTCCTAGGTGAGTCGCCGACTTCTTCTCGGTCTTTCCTTCCCCACCACGAAATTGTGACATTTTGTCGATTTTTCAGTCATTTGGGGTTTTTTTCCTCAGACTTGGCGCTGGGCTGGGGTCTGCCGCCGGTTCGGGGGTGGACATTAAGCGCAGGATTGCGGGTTGTGTCTTGTCCCAGTGGACTTGGAGGGCTCTGGTGCGCGCCACAGAGGATCGGGGGGTATTTTCTTAATTGAAAGATCTTAAAATTTGGCCAGGAAATGTGTCTGAGGTCTCAGGGAACCTATTTCAGAAAATCAGGTTTAGGTGTCTAAGAAAGTCAATTTTATTCTTTGTTAAAGAAATTAGTCGTCAGTCTAAGGTCTAAGTGCTCAACTCTTAGTCCTGAGGACTAAGTCTGTTGCCCTCGGTGAAGAGCAGGGGCTCCTCTGTGGTGTCCCGTGGCCGAGGGTGCAGGTGCTGTGAAATGGCAGCCCGTCCTCGGCTTTAACAACTTTGTGTTAAAATGGCACGTCCCTGGGATCTTAACCAAAAGTTTTCAGGGGTATCTTAAAGAGCCCATTTGTCCAGGTAAGCTGTGTCAAAAATTGAGATTGTTGTGTTGAAAATGCTGTTGGGAACATTCTTTGTCTGTCTTTGTCTGTAATTTTTAAAACAACTTGGCCAAAAATCCGAGTCTGAACCAAGTTACTAGAGGCGTAAGATTGAGAAAAATGTAGTTTGCCAATTTCTTCAGCGGCAAGTTTTAATGGCAGAGTCCTCCTGGTTTTCCAGTAGAGATAGAGAGAGAGAGAGAGACAAATTGTACATTTGAGGAGGCAGCAGAACCACTTCAGAAAGACCAAACACCTTTCCTCTGTCTTTCTTCGGGTGATTCTTAGTTGTACATTTTCTGAGACAAGCCTGAAAGTGTCTGAAAGCAGAACTGGGCAGAAAACAGGACGGTTTGTCTTTGAAATTTTGATTTAAAAAAAAAGTGCCTTGCAAAAGGAAAAAAAAATGGGTTTATGGCAACTAACCAGAAATTTTGGGGTTTATATATATATTTTATATATGAAATATATATATAATATAATATATATTATAT